GTATGGAAGATAAAATTGAATATTTCTGTACAAACTGTAGTAAATATTTAAATTGTTTTTGTTTCCCAGACCGTAGCAGATCTGAGATAGATTTGAGTGAATCTTTCTCTGAAGGAAATGAAGATACCCTGAGCATAAGAAGCAAATCTGTACCTAGTGCCTTAGATCAGGAATTGGTGAGTTATAAATATGTGAATGTTCATCTGGTGGAAATTCTGTTTGTTTGTACCAATGAAATCAAGACTATATGTGTATCTATATTAAATATGGGTAAGGCAGGACATTCTTTCAGGGATATTTAATGAGTTTTTTAATAGTGTCATCTTCTGAGTATGTTTGCTGTAGAGTGATTTCAATGAACAGTCATGGTTCCAATTTGTTGTTAATTTGCTGGGTGTTTGAGTTCACAGATGAAAGAAACCTAGCCTGAAAATAAATTCCAGACACTAAATTGCACATGCTCCAGAATTCTGTTAATTCATATTTGCATAAGTTTTAATTTTGATGCTGAGAAAGTTCACAGTTTAAAGGCTTTAATCTTTGTCTGGTTTGGTTTTCCATTTATCTGTATTTTTTGCAGAAAAACCCAACTTTCTCTTCTGGCAGTGTTGCTTGCCTCATCTTCCTGTTGACTCTTCCATACATCTCCATGCCTTTTTTTTGTGTATTCTATGGACTGCTTTTCCTGAAGTGATTCACAACTTCCATCTCCTCTTATGCACATATCCAAGACAGGCAATCTGCAGATGTGCATCAGTGCTATAAAAGAACATCCAAACTTATTCAATATGCATGGGAGGGGGAAAGTTATTTAAATAATTCTTCATCTAATCACAGTTTATTCTAAAGTTTCCAAATGTGTGCTGTTAGCTTCTGCATTTGGCCTCTTGTTGCAGTCCCACCCTTCCATCTGCTCTTTCCAGAAGAGCATTGGCCATGGCAGATGTTTCCCCTTCCTGTGGTATTGAAATTTGAGTCTTGGTGGAAATTCATGTGTTGGGATTTCCATCTTTTCTTGGATTTGAATGATAGAGAATATGTCTGCAGCACTGCTTTGGGTTGATCTTTGAGGAATTAACAAAAGACCTTCCTGTGTGTCAGGTGTTGGTGGAAGAAAAACTTTAAAAATAAGTGGTTTATTTTTAAATTGTAATAAGGAAAAATACGCATTCTTTATTAAGAAGCTGGAAAATAATGCAGAAGGAAAGCACAAAATAAAAAAATGCAGACCTATTATTTTTTTATATCTGTTCTCTGCTCTAATTGAGTTACAACTTAGATATTTTTCTGAGGCAGCTGCCAGAGATGACAAATCCAGAGAAAATTCTGATTCTCTTCTTTGAATTTTCTCTTCTTAATCAGAGATTTTGTTTTGTATTTCTTTCTTGCTGACTCTGAATGAAATTCCAGATTGCATCTCTGCAACTCTGTAGCTTCTTTGCTAGCACAGGAGATTTCTCTTGTGGCATAAATTTGATTTAGCTGCTCTGGAGTCTGGTGCTAATTCCGTTTAAAATTAATTCATAACAGGAGTCACAGATCTCTGATTTTACCCATATCCTCATTTTCTGTGCCTTATGAAATGAATTGATTGCATTCATCAGCTTTTGTGTTATCATATTCATTTAGGGTAGTTTGTCTCACAGGAGTCTTTCAGAGTCTTGTCCCATATTCATTATGGATGCAGTGGTTTGAGGTAAAAGCTGTATTCCTGCTGGAATTTAATTTATTTGATGTAAGAGACAAAAAGAAAAGTATGTGATGATGGTAACAACATCTCCTGCAGCCTGAGAAAAGCTGGAGTTTCACCTCATTTTCTTCTAGCTGAGGTCCTTCAGTCTCATTCCCAGGTGATGGGAGCTGACAGCAGTGGTATGGGAGATGCCACATGTCAATAGGATATGCAGATTGCTGGAATTTATCAGCTGAAAGGATGGGAAAAAGCTTTTAGTCACTTTGCTCCCACCTTTTTCAGGGAAACCCATTACCCATACTGAGAAATCAGCAGGAAAATTGAATGGATATTTTGCTTCTCTGACTTTGTGTTGCTTTTGATAATGAAAAGGAGAAGCCCCAAAACCCACATGATGTGGTACAGATTTATCAAGGAGCATGGGGAACCAGCTAAATCCAGTGTTGTGTTCAAATGTGAGCACCTTTTCTACAGAGGTGTGTGTTGAATTCCTGACCAAGTGGTGTTCATTACTTGCTCAGCTGCTGTTTTAGGAGTAATTGGATGAGGTGCACTTTATAGCCCCCACTGGAGACCACGAGATTAATATCCTCCTAGCTACTACTTTAATAAGCTCATAACACCAACCAATTACATAGTTGCAATGCTGTAATAACTCCTGAGAAAACTAATGGTTGTGGTGCAATATGAATTAAGAGAGTAAGTTAAATTATTAACCTTTCTTTTTAAATTTTAGATTTCTGCTTGCAGCCAAAAATTCTGCAGTTAGGACTCAGTGAAGCAATGTTAGAATATGAGTGTCTAGACCTGAAACACCCAAATCTGAAAATGTTGCCTTACCTTTTCCCTCGTGTTTAATTATTCTGCAGTAAAAATGTAGCATTGTTTATTTTCAAGTTTACTGATATGCATGCAACAGTACAAAGAAAAGAGTTTTTCATGTATAGAATTGCTTCTTCTTGCTCCATAGGCAAATAAGAAAATTGTATTCTTGTTCCAAATTTAGAACCAGACTACATCACCTGACATCTGATCTTAATGAGGGGAATAGAAATTACACGTGGAGTGGTTTGTTGCTTGTTTGTTTGTTTCATTTCAGGTTTTTGGGAGATTTTACTTTTGAATTATTCACCTGTCTCCCTGAAATAATTTGCTCTGTTGTGCCCAGGTCTCCAAGGGTTTTTCCTTTCATTTAGGATAAAGTATCTATTACTTACTTTTTCTTTTTCCTGTGGGGCACTGTTAGAAAAATATGAGACCAGCAGAGCAAGCTCATGGTAAGAACATGGAACTGTTTTCTTCAGTATATAAATTTTGGTGATAGCTTGTTCTGATTTACCTCTGCACAATATTACATGTGCAGTAACAACTGGAAAGCAGTAACAGAAAATAACTTTTAGGTGGTTTCATATCAATTCAGTCACTGGAGCAAAGGAGAAAGATGTAACAGCCAGTTTTAGGTAAAGTATGGCAAATGTGCTACAAGTTTTTTAATGTAAATGGTGAATTCAACTCTCCAGTAGCATTTCCCCCTGCTCTTTTTTTTTTTTTTTTTTGCTGATTAGCACAGAAGTCTTTGAGGCTCCTGAATTTGAATACAATATTTCTCTGTTTAGTTTCAAAGAGTGAGAGCAACTAAACAATAGAGAATGAGGTGGGTCAAAAGGTGAGTCTTTTATATCTGCAAGGCAGATTTAAGGAACTTGAAAATCTGACTTCCATTAAAGTTAAAAACAAAGTCTTCCAAAATATGTCTGCCATAAGGCTTAGGGAAGCACAGATTTCCAAGCTATACCTAATAGGATTATAATTGTCTGCTGGTATTTTTTCCTGTTATTTTAAGTAAAAGTTAAGAGTCCCATTAGGACCATCAATCACATCTAAAGATTTAGTTTAGATTTTACTTCATTGCTGTGTTTAAATGAAGATATTTTTTTTCTGTATATACCTTTAAGATGCTAAACTTCAGTCTTGCTTATTAAAACTCAAGCATCTATATGAAGCTATGCAATTACTGATTATCCATCTTTTTATTATTAATACAATACAGAAATTTAATTACTTTTTAAAATGCTTATGAACTGGCTTGATATAAGATGTGAAGTGCATGTGTGAAGATTTTCAGTGCTTAAACAATTGAATCTTGAAACCACAGCTGTCTCTTCCCTTTATGCTCTGTATCTGTGCAAAGATGTGGAAAATGTGAACCAAAATTCCATTAGAGAACAGAAATTGAGTGTATCTAGCACCATCTTCCTAAAGTGGAAATCTTGTGAACAAAAATTAAGTGACAGAGGTTGACAAAATACACTGCAGAACACAACTAAAATGCTTGTTTGTCATTTAGGGCTATCTGGATGAAACAGAAGAAGATATTGATGACATAGTGGCCTCTTGTTATCCAAGAAAGCATGAACATATGACAAGTGGATTATCAAGAGTAAGATCTTGGGTACTGTCCTTCCACAAAAGACCATATTTCCTCCAGAAAGGAATTTATTTCATATCACTTATCACATTCATCTTTCATTCTGAACTTGAGAAACATCTTTTAACATTCAGATAGACTTTCTTTTATATTATTAATGCTGTTCAAAGCTAAAATGCTGTTCTCTGCAGGGCATGGAAAGAGAAAACTATTTTGCATACTCATTAGCAGACTTCCTCATATGCTGGGGTTATTACCAAGCTTCCATGTGGAGAAGGCAAACCAGAGGTGTTTGCAGTGTGTGACTGCTCAGCTCTGCAGAGGAGCACTTGATCTTAATTAATTTGAAACAAAGAGAACAAGGCTGTGAAGGGAGGGGTTCCTTCTCAAACGACTCTGTATTTTTTTAGACACACAAACATTTGTCTGTGTGTTTGCACACAACCCACTTCCATGGAATCATTGTCCATTCTTCAACTCAGTTTCTCTCATTCTTCATGGCATGATTGCTACCCACATCTGGAAAGTATTTCCCTTTACTGCAGGGGAGAAGAATTAGGAATCCCCTAATTCTTGGGGATTAGGTTGGTGAAAATTAAGGGGTAGCTGCACCTGATGGTAGCAACAAAATTGGCAGAAGAAGGTTTTGCTGTTCATTATGCAGTCTGTTATTCACTGGAAAAGAAAATAGATAATAAAAGCAGCCTTTAACCTGTCTAGTTTATTACTATCTGCTGTGTACCTCATTTTTGGGATCTGTGGGCAGTTGATAATATCTTCAGAGAGTCCTCTCTGGCCACTCTTCTTTATAGCTTGTGTGTAAGAATAGCTCTGGACTGCACAAAGCTGCAACAAACTCTACGTAGAGTGTGTGAGTGCTGAAGAGGATGAAGAAAGATGAGTCTGAACACTAAAAGAGAGGAGAAAATTAGGTCTATGACAATAACCAAAGAACTGTCCTTTCTAGATTGCACCCCAGTGAAGCTCTTGACCCCAAATAAATGGAGTTGGCTGAACTTGAGCTTGGCTTACACAGGGAGGAGAAAGGGCTGAGAATATTGACATCACAGAGCATTTTGAAGTTTTAGATCTGGCCGTGTCAGACCATTTTCCCCTCTGATTTTTGTAGCTGACAGAAGCAGACACAGCAGAGTACAGCTCACACCAGGTCAGAGCTGAGCCCCTGCAGCCTGTGCACACTGGGCTAATTCCACCCACTTGGCCCAGGCTGGCAGTGGCTCACAGCCTCCAGTGCTTGCTGGTCCTGGGGATTTTATAGACAGAATCATTTTCATTTCCTCTGAATATTGATAGGAGGATTGCAGGGGCTCAAGTGTTTTCTCTGTTAGGCCATTAATTAAGGAACTGCACTCAGAGATCCTTCCCTCTGTGCTTCAGGCAGCATTCTGTCCATGTGCTGGGTTTTGTCCTTTGCTGTAGATTTCCCTCTGACCTTTCTCTTAAGCAAAGTGCAGCTTTCCCAGGGCTTTGAGACAATCTCACATCTCAGTGCTCCCATTTCTCTTATTCACCATGACATGTTTTTTAATGTCACTTCATGCAATGTTAATGGCAAAGTTGTGAATGGCCAGCTGCTTCTCCCTTCAAGAGAAGGGCAATTTTACAGGTTCATTTCTTTATTCCCCTGAAGTGTGTTCCTAACATTTCCCCATCATATTTTTACCTTCACTTTGATTGCTTTAAGCCTTTGAGCCTCCTTGCACAGTATGTTTATTATCCTATCCTGTCAGATGACTGTTAACTATTAAGTTACATTGAAATAATGTTATTAATGAACAGTAGACTCATAACTGTATTTTTCCTTTTCCTTTTCCTTTTCCTTTTCCTTTTCCTTTTCCTTTTCCTTTCCCTTTCCCTTTCCCTTTCCCTTTCCCTTTCCCTTTCCCTTTCCCTTTCCCTTTGAAATAAGTATGGCTAGTCTTACAATGAATATTTGGGGAAAAGAAAGAGATATCACAAAGGGTAAAAGACACTTGAAATCTACCTGCAACATGAATGAGCTAAAATAGAAATGGAAAGTGACATTGAAGAGAAACTGTATCTCAGTGTTAGTATTTTATTTTGTGTTTTCCCAATGCTGTTGCATGAAGTGTGAGTTTAGTTTTCTCTTCATCCTTCATCCTCCACATATTTATGTGGTGCTGTCAAGACCCACCACATCAGTGAGACTAAAATGTTCCAGTGCTTTACTGCAACAAAAAGATATGATGCAAAACAAATATAATTCTTAGTGAGATGTCAAAATGAGACTCTGTCCTTTGTATATTGTTTGCTGCTTACTAAACAGGAATATGAGTATTTTCTTTGGGATTTTACATTTAGCGTATGCAATGTCCAGTGTAAATTCTACCAAACAGAGTCTGGGAGTAGGGGGAAGAAAGTGAAGTTTATCAACATTTACTAAATCTGTATACTTTTCTTCATGGTGGGCAAGCAATTCAGAAATTGTGTTTGCATAAATTCAAGGGTCAGGTGCCATCTATTTGTTTCAGACCTTCTATCATAGCTTTATTTTTTTTACCCCATCCATTTATCCCTTCCTGCCTGCTTACATAAAGATTGAGGAAAAACGTATTTAGATTAGAGAGAGAAGAGTTTGGAGTAGAAAACCTCATCCACCTCCTTGTATTGGTATAACCTTGGGTTTTTTTTCTGAAGTGGGCATAAAAATCATTGCAGGGATAATTTATACATTTTTTTAGCACATACTGGACTGGTTAAGTTCCCTAACAGTGTAAGAGGATATTTTTATGTATTTTAGAGGTGGAAAATGTATAAATGGTAAAGGCTGGAATTTTGCTCAAGGCATGTTAGAAATTGGAGGAAATGTGTCTCATTGGTTGGTATGTGTTGATAATTCTCCAATAATTTTAACCAGTCCAGTTAATGGAATTTCAGACAATTATAAAAATAATTAAAAGGACAGGCATTTTTCTTTATTTTTTTTTCTTAATTAAGGCTAAAGCCAGACATCAAAAATATACCAAAACCTTTTTTTTTTTTTTTTGCTGTTTATTTTTCCTACATGGGATATAAAATTAAATTTATGGGTAATAATTGCTTATGTAAAGAACACTTTTCCCTATCTGTTGTTTATGACACTGACACAGAAGTGTTTATCCCTGGAGACTCCTGTGCTGCAGGGCCCTTGGGCAGGGTGCTGGGAGAGCTGGGCTTTGTCTCAAACCAATTCCTTCTCTGTGGTCCTTTCCCTGGCCTGTGCTCTTCCCTGCAGCTGGCAGGGAAGGAGATGGATCAAGACACAGCTCATGAGAGCTCTGGCAAGCAGAGGAGGAAAAATGTGTCCCTCAATCATTAATTAGCATTTTTTTCCCCCAGAGAGTGACATGTTTCAATATTTTAGTGCAATTGTCATCTGTTCTTACAAACTGTCCAGAGAAACTGCCCCTTCTCACAAAGACATTGATGCTGCAAATACAGGAGTGCTTGGCTTTTGGCTGGCTTCAGGGAGCAGTGACATGGACATGTAAATGAGAACAAATCCAATGTAGTCCAGTATGAATCCAAACCTGCTGAGATACTGTTCTAAAATATACCTTGTTTATTTGGATGCAGAAATGACCTCATTTCTATGTAATTACTTTGAACCATGGATCCTTCAATACTTGAAGTGTATGGAGAACACAGCATTTCTCTGATTTGGTGATACCTCTTTCTCTCTTTCT